TTGAGTTTGTTTTCCAAAGATTATTTCGGTGTTGTATGTCCTAGAGTCGTCGCTCTAAAATATCCATATGACCATGTATATTAACTCTAAATTTCCACTCGTGTAATCATATGTTCCAATCCTATTGGCACACTAGAAGAACCTATACTAGGCTTAATTGTAGTAGTGGAAGGTAACTCCTCTTCCATTATAGTCTCATCATTGTTTTGCTAAGTATGTCTTAAAGATGTACCAATCTCTTGTTCCGCTCACATATGTAGTGTCCGTTAGTAGAGGTGCCTTAGATCCAACTTGTTTAGACAGTTTGATGTATTATTCCATTGAATTTTAATATTAATAAAAAAATATTTTTATTAATTCTTGTTATTTATAATTTGATGGAATTAGATAAAAGTCCATATGATATGCATTGTATTAATGATTGATTAGTAGATATGAAACAAATATCAATACACATAAATGATATCATTAAATATCGTAAGTTGTAGCATTGTCAAGAATAGACATTGACAACATGTGATAAAACTTATGGGTACTATGCTCTTGTCTGTAAGATAGTAGTAGGAGATCACACACCTACTAGTATGGTGATGCCACGACAAGCAATCGAGTGAATAATGTTAGAGAACATATAACTAGATGTGACTCACCATGAGAACCCATTTGGCATTGTCTATGATAATCGTATATGAGATGGGTACAAGTAGTCCTTTGACTTAAACTCATCATGGTTATCTCATTATAAGATTGATGTATTTTGATATTCATTTTGATAAGTTCAGTAAAAAGTTACATGTGAGTGATTCGTTGGGTATATTAGGAATCTAATGGAGATATGTAGATGATTGAGATAGGATATGCCATTTTTTATATACTAAAGGAGTTATTACCTTTCACTTCGATACTTTGACATTCGTTTCGATGAGCTCAATAAAAAGTTACATGTGAGTGATTCATTGGATATATTAGGAATCTAATGAAGATATGTAGATGATTGAGATATGATATGTCCTTTTTTATATGCTAAAAATGTTATTATATTGCACTTTGATAAATGCCCGATTAAGAAATCTATGGTCACAAGTGGAAGTGATATAGTCGGTTGATTCAATGGTTGATCTTATTGAAGTCGAATTCCAAGGGAAGTCCATTTCTCCTTTTGAAACCCATCCTCTAACCACCATGGTTGGTGTAACAAGTTTACTTGTGTATTGTTCAACATACGAGTGTTGAGAAAACATTTTCCTCTTCGACTAATTATAACTCTTATACGTTTTATAGTACTTTGATGAAATTTTCTAGTTCCATCTCCTTGGCTTCATTAGCATCAATTTTGTTTCTAGATTCAATGAGGTGTATTTTCTATGTAATTTATAATTTGCTTTTACTAGTAGAATTTTGAGGAATAATTTATGAAACACATTATTGGAGTCACCAAAATATCATGGATAAAATTTTCAACGTGCTTCGTGGACCACGAGTACTTGCACCTAAGAAGGAGACGTCCGCTTTTACCACAACCTTCATGGATGTTCATGATACTCTTTAAGGAAATTAAAGTTCCATACCATAGGAGTAGGTTCTAATCATTATACATGTAGGTCGGTATCAAATTAAATATCAATAAAAACTTTATTTTGTTGGTTCTTAGTTTGCACTACAAAGGACCTAGCTAGCTAGCTAGCTAGGGAGCTTATGTCGGTAGTACTAGCCGTATAAAGAGTTTTCTTAAACTCAAAACTGGTCGACTTACGGTGATATGTAGTTGATTCTTTTTTGTTGTAGCATACCAAACGAGTTGGGTGTATTTTTAATTACTATTTTCTTAATCATTTACATTTTAGCTAATCATAATAAATTTTGATTTTCTTTGTTTAATTAATGACCTAGTCCGTCCTTTAAAAAAAACAAAGGAAAAAAAAAACTAGACTAGTGTTACATTGTAGCTAGGTAGGATCATAATCATTTTACTAACATTTGTTTAATTTGTTTGAAGGAAAAAATCATTTAGCATTCTCATATATCTTCGTTCATATCTCTATTGGTATTAATTGCACAAAACAATTATCTTGGGTATGTATTTCATATATAAATAATGCAATTCATTGTTGGCCATTATATTGATCAACAATTAGGTTTGTACTTAATAAGTCAACAAAACTACGCATCTTTGGTGACATTTAGGCAAGCATGAGTTCAAAATGATAAAAAAGAGTCATCATATAGTTTTAAAGGGTTTAATGGCATAATTTATCTCTAATTATTGAAATTTTGATAAAATAAGACATCTTATCCATTTGAACTAGTTGGACGACAAACTATTAATTTTTGAACAAAATTTATCCTTTTTTATTATGGTTGTCGATCAAAGTGTTGATTGTTAAATCAAATACTTAAAAGTTTTAAGCATTTCATTTTTTTAAAAAATTAAAACTAATTTTAAAAATATTTAATAATAGTTAGCTTTTAAGAAGTTCGGATGATTTTGTTATTTATAAATCTAACTTCTATTGTTGGATAATTAATAATGTGTAATGGATTCATCTAGTTAAGAGAAAAACTACTCAAGTCCCGTACACACTTGTCGCTACTCGACATTTGACGGGACTCCTAAAAAACATCTCTAATTTGAATCTAGTTTAAGATTTATTTTATTTATTGAATTATTTATAAGTTTGGAGTCGCCACCTAGTATTGAAGGAACTAGGAACCTAAAATGGGCACTTGGTTCAAAGATTCTAGGGTAAGGAGTTGGTTATACTTTTGGGAAGATATTTAATCACCTAAAAGTGCCATTTTTAAAGAATGATACCACGTCTAGTTTACTTGCTAAATTCATCTCCTAAAAATATTTTATTTTTGCCAAATTATTTTTTCAATTTTTGAAACTCCATTTTTTTTAAGTTCTTTATTTCAAGCCAAATTAAGTTTTTTATTTTTGAGCATGGTATCATATTGAGACGATCATTGGACCCCTTCTATTGGGAGACACGTTGGTTCAAACATCGAATCCACTTTTTAAGTCTCGACATAACCGGTATGTCGGAGAACACTTGTTTATTAATAATAATTTTTTAGCTAACAATAGTCCTTATCAAATAGGAGACTTTGTTGAGAGTTTTATGTTTTTGTTTTCTTTCTCTTTCAATTTTTTTTCTTTTTTATTTGATGGAAGATTGTCATCGGTTTCTAAAGAATTAGGAGACTTGATAGTGCTCCACCCATTACTTACCGAGCCTAATAACTAAACAAATACATTAATCTACATTAATTAAGTAAAGAAAATTTAAATACCAAAGTTTAAATCAATAACAAACATGCATAAAATAAATTCAAGGTTAAATTAAAACAATTACAAAATACTACAATAACTAACTAACATGCATAAATAAACTTAAAATTAAAATTACATTAACTAAATAATTAAAGAAAATTCAATACTTAAATTAATTACATAACATGCATAATAAAACACCTATTTATTTTTTTGATTTATTTTTTCTTTTATTTTTTTGGTTTTTTTTAAAATAATTTTTGAAGAGCGGGGGGGGGGGGGGAGGGGGTGGGGCTGAACTATCCAGCCACTTTTTGTTTTTCTTTATGGGAGAGAGGCGAGCTAGACGAGTCTAGTCCCTAAGGAATTTAAAAAAAAGTCAGTCCATCCCATTCACGTATGGGTTGGGCTAAGTCAACCCACATCACTTAAAAACTAAACCCATAAACACAAATTTCTTTTTTTTTTCTTCCTAATTTCATATCAAAGCTTCCTTTTTTTCTTTTTTCCCTCTTTCGTTCTCGTTTTCTCTTTCTTTTCTTCTTCCCTTATTCCTTAGGCCGGAACTCCATAGACGACCGGTTTGTCCCTCCTTCTTTCCCTCTCCTCTTTCTTTTTCCTTCTTTTCCTTCTTTTTCTTCCTTCCTTCTCTTCCTCTTTCTCCTTCTTCTTCCTCTCTCATGGCTGAAACTGCCATGGACGAACTCGTGGTGGTTTATCCATGGCCACCTAATTCTTTCCCTTTCCCTTCTTTCCTTCATTTTCTATGGCCACCTAATTCTTTCCCTTTTCCTTCTTTCCTTCATTTTCCATTCCTTTCTTCCTTCCTAAACCTCTTAATATCCATCTAGATCGAAAACCCCAAATCAATTTTTTTTCAATAAATCCCCAATATGGCCGAAGCCTAAGTTTTGATTTTTCTTCAATTTTTTTATTCAAATGGGTATAATTGAGAAATCAAGTCGATTCAAATCCTTTAGGATTTGAATTTTTGAAAACTCCTAATTCAATTTTGTTCAAAAAATTTCAAGAACCCTAAATTTGAATTGAAGTCAATTCGACTTCAATTTGGGGTTTAGACCCTAAATTGAAACTCCAATTGGCTTCAATTGAGTTTAATTTGTGCTTGCTAACCTTGATTTCAATTTAATTTTAAAAACCCCGAAAATTCAAGACTAACTTAAATTAGAAGTTAAAAGAAATTCGAATTCAAAGAAAAAATTGAATTGATTACCTAAGAGGACAAAAATAAATATGGATTGATGCTTCAAGAGGTAACTTTTGTTTCTCCTTTTTTTGGAATTTTTATTACCGCTAATTTTTCTCTTTTTTTTATTGGTGTTCTTGAATTTTTGGATTGCCTAATCTCTCTTTTATTTTCGGACTCCCTCTTGCTCCTCCCTTTTTTGTGTTATGATTTGTGTGTGTGTGTGTGTGTCTATGAATGCTTGGTTCCCTACCATGATGGTGTGAGATTTTTCTTCTGCAGGATTGTCAAGTGGGGGTTAGATGAGACTGGTTTTATGGGCTATGACGAGTGGTTAGATTACTTAAGGTAGAGTGGTGATTGGATTATGGGCTAGGGCAATAGGGTAGTGTTACGGGAGTTATAACAATAAGGTGGTGACGATTGATTTGGGTGATGAGGAATTGCAATAATAGGGTGGCTATGGTAGTTATTGTTGATTGGAGGGGAGAAGTGCGAGGGCAAGTTGGGGTTGACAAAATGGTCAGGCGGAGGGTCGGGTTATGGGTCGTTGAAATTGTTGACTTGGGAAAGAGGTTGTGGGCTACCGAGGAGATGAGTCCAGTAAGGGGAGGCTACAAGTGGTGGGGATTGTGGGCTGCAAGTTATGGCATGGTGAGGGAGACTCGGAATAGTCCAAGTAGGTACTTTAATGTGGCAAGGGTAGGATGCAAGTTCGTTACTTGGAGGATAGATTTTGGAGTAGATTACACGAAATGCGAGTGGAAGCTAGCGAGTTTTAGTGCTTGGAGAGGTGGTCGGTTGCGGGAGCAAAATTGCACAAAGGATGGAAGGGATTTGTCTCTTCATCTTTGCATTCATTTTCTTTTTTTGGTATTTTTCATTTTTATTTCTTTTGTAATTTTGTACCGAATTCTAAGTAAATGAAAGAAAATATTTTTTTGAATTTTTAATTTGATTTTATGTAAAGCAAGCATGAATTTGAGTAATAATAATAAAAAAAACTAAAGAAAACTCAAACAAAAAAAAAGGTAAAATTTTAGGGTATGACACGCACTACTCGTCACCCCAAAGTAATTGGTTTCGACCAAAGCATAAAACCAATTATCACCTATGACTTTTGTGTACCACTTGTGCTACAAAGGCTTTTGGTGGTCATTGACACATACCATAGTGAGGTATTCTACTAGGTGAAGTCGTAACAAGATAGTCGTAGGGGAATCTAATCATAAGAATCTTAGTAAGTGCACTAGGTCACATCAAGTAATAAAGTGAATATGAGTTTAAGTATCGAATCCTAAATGACTAACTATTTTAATACTAGAATTATATAACTACTTATCTAAAGTTAAACAAATCGAAATAAAGTGAATTTTCAATCTAAGTAATTAATTAACTAAACAAAGTAATAAATAATAATATGATAATACGAAGAGAAAACGATAGAATTGGATAACAAAGGCATGTGTTTCAAATTTATTGTAGTGCTACCTTCAAATTTATTGTATTTAGAATAGTTAATTTAGTTATGTCATAGTAAAATTCTAAAAAATATTTATTATCCTTCTCTACCTATAATAATTCGATTCTCAATTAACAACCCTTTTTATCTCTATAAGAATTTAACTAAATAAGAATTCATTATCGATTTGTGGAATTCCTAGCTTACATTGAAATTTCATCCATTTTATCACTAAAAATGTGCAATAAAATTGAATATTATTTCTAGTTGGTTTAACCTCATGGTGATTGATATTATGGCATTCTTAACCTATCTCCTCTCCGTATCAAGATTAAGCAATAAATCAAGTAAATGTTGATCAAGCATTCATAGGCATTACAAACAATATCAATCAATTAACATATATCAAACTAGTTCAATTTAATATTAAATCATCAAAACAAATACTAACATAGTTTTGGCCTTACATGGCCTTAGTTACTGAAAATTTATCTCATAATTAGCTTAAAATAAACCTCAAATATCAATTTAAACATGATCCAAAATTCAATTACAAAAGAAAATATGGAATACCTTACTTTTGATTAAATTTGAAAATTAAATCTTCTTTCCTTCAAATTTAGCTAAGAGTTTGTTCCCAAAAAATTGATCTCAAACCTTAGCTTCTATTTTATGTGTAAATTTTCTCTCGGTTGTCTAAATTGTCTCCGTCATCCCTCTTTCTATCTTGTTCTCCCTTTTTTTGTGTCTCATTTGCTTTATTTTCATATCCCTTTTTAATGAAACTCTAAAACCCTAAAAGTTGGTTCTTTCGATACGACTTAGCTATTCGTAATTACCTTTTTATAAGATCTTTAATGTAATGGTAGATTATCGTGTTGGGTTATGCATTACTTACTTGTCAAGTCCGGATCCATTACTTACTATTCGTATCAAATTTCATTTTCAAGCCAAGCATTAATCTCGTGCTTCGATATGTCGGGATTACTTTGATATAGTTGGCTCACAAAATATTTATGGAAGGAAAAATAATTATAAGATTTTTAATGTCTTTAATATAAATAATTGATAATTAATGAAGTTCAGTATTGAAAATTTTGTTAATTTTAGCACTTACTCGGCATAAAGTGTCACCTCATCACGTTTTAATAAAATGTAGGTGTGAGATGCAAGCTTTTCTTCATCTATTAACACATGTGATTTTTCTTGAATAAGAGATCGACATGTCGATTTGAATATATCAAGCATCCCTTCAATATCATCACGTGGTTCTTGAGCACATTCTCAAAGTTATGTGGTACTTTTTTATGCCTAGTATAAATATGAGGCTCGAAGTAATATGAATAGAACATTGACACTTCTTCAACTAAATATGCATTCCACATTGACCTTTCACCTTTGGCTTTATCCTTTACATTGTTTTTAAAATTTTGAAGATATCTCGCATTACGTTGTTTTTTTGTACAATCACTAAAACTTATTTTTCTAGCAGTGATTTCAATCCATATATTTGATGTGTTGTTTCATTTTGATAGCATGATTGTTGCTAATTCTCAACTATATTTCCATTTTTAGGTAATATGGATTAATTCATATATATTAAAAAAATGGCTATTTTTATCTAATAAATTACTTTCTAATCTCTTCCCTCTAAAACTAGTATAGGCAATCCTCCTTCTCATATTGAACGTACTCTAACTTGGCCTCAAAATTGTAACACCTCCGACCGAAGACTCGGATAGGTTATGGATATTATCGATATTGACTTATATTCAAAGTGCAATGAATGTAAGGTAAGAACCCTCCTCCCTTGTCAATCCTAGTGCATTTACGAAAGTGGGCATTTATCATACTTTAGGTCTATATCAAGTATGAAATACTAGGTCTACTATACATGATTTGGGTATAATTTTATTTTCTCCTTATCTTTAGGTTTGATTGAGCCTATTACCAATTTTATTTAAACCTCTCCAATTAATTTAACCATTACGTTCTCTTTAGTCTTGACTTTAATATATTCCTACCTAGTTCTTTCTTATCTTGAGTTACAACCATTTCTATAATCCTATCAACTATATTATCGCGCCATATTAGTCATTTTAAGCGAGGTTAGTTTAATCGTACTTATCATTGAAACTAACCTTTCAATTTATACCCAAAATAACATTTGTTTAATTGATTTACATATCTACCAAAAATTCTTAACTTGCTATACATGAAAAATCAAGTTAAGTTATACAAAATTCTCATACTCACCAACCCAAAGCATACAAAATGATAAGTCTATCACTCGTCTTGACAATAATTGTTCATTTATTTTTATCGTCTCCTACACCATAAGAAAACAATGGTGAGCAACGCAATGCTTAACAAGTATAACTCATGCAGTACATGTGATATCTTTTATGCATGAATGGACATGATGTAACTTTTCATAAAGTCCTTTTCATGCCTTTGAAAACCATTTTCCTTTTCCTTTTTCCTTTTTGGGTGCACCCTTTCCTTTATCATTTATTCGGTTAGGGCATTTACCATATCCCCCAACTATCGAGACCTTTATCAAATCTCTTGCCGAGGAAATGCCTTTCCACTTTCTTTAGTTAGGGCTGTCATTAAATCCCCCAATTGTGAAAGCCTTTATCGAATACCTCGACGAAGAAGTAGGCCACTTTCTTTAGTTAGGACCTTTACCAAATCCTCCAACTCGTCAAGACCTTTACCAAATCCCTTGACAAAGAAATGGTATTATCATGAAAATCATGAAAACCTTTTTTCTTTTTCTTAAAACCTTTTTCCTTTTTCTTTCATCAAAATCATGAATATAAAATCTTCTTTCATGATAATGATGTGCATATACATTTGGATAAAATGCAATGTCATGAACATTCTCTCAACATGCATGCCTTTTGAAAATCCTTAAGAACATGCACAACATGATTCATCAATCACATGTTTCAATAACATAAGTATGCATGGCACATGAATAAACACCATGCACAATTAAACAACATGGAAAACATCATAATCAACCAATTTTTTTTTTCATGTAAACATGACCATTTTCATACCATTCATACCTCTAAGCCTCACATTAACCTCTTTGTCCATGGTTTTCAATACTTAGCCGAATTAAGCTAAATGAAAGGACAATTGACTTGTCAAATTTATTTAGGTTGTTTTATCAAACAATTGGTAGGCATTAAATAAGACAACTACTAATCTATATCTACTTAAGGGATTGTTCATCCACCTTGTTCGTGAAACAAGGACATTATCCAACCATATATAATCAATTCATTGAAACATTGAAACATCATTATTTACATATAACAAACACATCAACATCGTATAGCCTTTTTAATTCAATCATGAACATACAACTCTTAACCACACACTTGTTAACCCATCATCATGTAAATTATCGTTTTCACTAAATCATATCTCCATACCTAAATTCTTATAGTGTAGGTGAGGAATTATACTTACCTCACTTGGAATTTAACCTTTCTCTTTCTTTTTTTTCCTTGGTTCCTTCCTTATAAAAAAATTCAACCAAAGCGTAGAATTCTACCCTTCTCCTTGCTTAATCCATTAAGATGGTTTGAAGGCTAATTAAGTGTTTCTAAACTAGTTAGAATGATTAGGATCGTTGGTTTTGGGTGGTTGAAGTTTTTCTCTTTTTGACTCGGGTTTTTCTCTCCTCTTCTCGCCTTTTTCTTTCTCCCTTCCAACCCATCTCTCTCTTTTTCTTAATTCTAGAATTCTAGATTTTTCTAACCTAATTTTTTATGTTAAGTTCAACTAATTAGTCCGTCACATTATTAGTACTTTACACTTTGGCCCTCAAAATTCCAATCCTTACAATTTGATCATATAATTTCGATCCGTAACTTCATATTTTTCATCAATTTAGCCCTTATCTAGGCCAATCCTAAAGTTAATTCAAGTCGCTAATGGTTTTTCTAATTATTTTAATTAAGGACTTAAAATTTTAATCTTTATAATTATACCTTTAGGTTTTTGCAATTGCACCCTTATGGCAATGCATAAGCATATCAATTGAGGATATCATTGCCTAATTCAAAATTTTTTCATTCCATAAACCCATTAATTTTACTTGTGTTTTCTTTTATTCTTAATTGAACTTCAAACATACTCATTGATTAAATAATTATACATTTTATTAATTAAATAAAATATCTATATATCACAATTACATTTCTATGAGGGTTTTAGGTCACGGATATTACATCCTTCTCTCGTTATGAAAATTCTATCCTCGAAATTCTATAACTAAATAATTTATGATATTTTTCTTTCATCTCATCTTCTATTTTTCATGTTGTTTCCTTTATGTTATGGTTTCTTTATAACACTTTTACAAGAGGAATCTACTTATTCCTTAGCTATTTCATCTCCTAATATAGGATTTGAATCAACTCTTTTTGACGACTAAGATCCGTTTGAAGGTCTAATGACTCATCTCTTAGAATATGGCTTGAGTCCTCTACATATTTCTATAAATATTAACACATGAAATACGTTATGCACTCGAAGATAGGGATGAAGATAAAGTTAATCCGTAAGCATGATCTCCAATTCTCTCTAACACTTCAAATGGCTCAATGTACTTTAGACTTAGTTTTTCTTTTCTCTCGAACTACATTACTCTTTTTATTGATGCTACTTATAAGAACACTTTATTATCGATCTTAAATTCTAAGTCTT